AAATGCATTATTAACATCTAATTGATGAACATGCCAATGTTTGATGGATGCAACAACAAGTAATAATCTAACAGAAGTGATTTTAGCAACAGGAGAAAAAGTATCAAAATAATCTATACCTTCCTCCTGTGTGTAGCCTTTTGCTACTAGTCTGGCTTTGTATCTCTCTATTGAACCATCAGATTTATATTTAATTTTATATACCCATTTACAGCCTATTGTATGTTTACCAGGAGGCAAATCAGTTAAGACCCATGTGTTTGTTTTCTCAAGGGCTTGTAATTCTTTGTTCATGGCAGATTGCCAAAGAGGGTCTTTAACAGCTTGTTTATAGGTTTTGGGTTCAGTCAGAGTGGAGATGGATGCAGTAAAACATGCATGAGAGGATGACAGTTGTGTAGTAGATAAATGATGTTCAATAGGATATGAAATGATGTTATGAGATGTTCCAGAAATATTGTCATTGTCCTCAGTCAAAACAAGATTGGTGGCTGAGGGAAGAGAGTGTTTATAAGCATTGAGGTAAGATGGTATGGTTCTTTTTCTGGAGGATCTTCTGGTATTGGAAACATCAGGTATTGTTTGTTGGGGTGAAGGGTTATGTGAAGTAGATGGTGATGAAGAAGTGTTGGGAGAGGTGGAGGGAGATGATGGTGTTGAGTTGTTATGTGATGTTGGAGCTGAGGGTGTTGGTAAAGGTTGTGTTGTGTTTGTTTGTATAAGGTCATGAGGAAATTCAGGTTGGGTAGGAAACATTAAGGAAGGGTCTGGAGAATCATTAGGAGCAGTAAGAGAATGATTGTGAAAGGGGAGGACATTTTCATAAAACATGACATTTCTGGAGATTATAATTTTCTTGGTATCCAAGTTGTAAAGCCTATAACCTTTACAACCTAGGGGATAACCAAGCATTATGCATTTGGATGCTCTTGGGTCAAATTTTGTCCTACCTTGTTGTAAAGTAGATGCATAACATAAAGATCCTATAACTTTGAAATGATCATAGGTAGGTTTCTTTTGAAAAAGAAGTTCAAAAGGAGATTTATTTTGAAGAACAGGTGATGGGACTCTGTTTATGATGTGTGCAGCAGCAGTAATGCAATCTATCCAGAAATGTAAAGGTAAATGAGCATGAAACATGATAGCCCTAGCTACCTGTAATAAATGTTGGTGTTTCCTTTCAACTCTGCCATTTTGCTGAGGTGTTTCAACACATGATGTTTGATGTATGATGCCATGAGAATGATAGAAATTGTGCAATAAAAATTCAGTGCCATTGTCTGTTCTAATGGTCATGATTTTCTTGTTGAATTGAGTAAGAATCAAGTTATAGAAATGCTGCAGATAATAATGAGTATCTGATTTTAAAAGCAATGGATAAATCCAAGTGGTTCTGCTGTAATCATCTACAATTGTAAGAAAATATTTGTGACCAGAAATAGAAGGGACAGAGAAAGGACCCCAGAGGTCACAATGAATAAGTTCAAAGGCAGCAGATGCAATAGATGTGCTGAGATTAAAGGATAATTTCTTTTGTCTGCTGAAATGACAAATGTCACAGGGACTATGCATATGAGACTTGCAATTAACAGATATAGGCAGAGTAGCAAGCTTATTGTAAGATAAATGTCCAAGTCTTGCATGCCAAAGTTCAGAAGTATCATGAGCCACAGAATTAATATGAGTATGTGTAACATGGGATACATGGTTTGCAGATGTAGGTATAACATGTTTGTCAGGTATATGTGATACATGGTTTCCAGAAATATGTGCAACAGGGTTATAAGAATGTAAAGACAGATGATATAGACCATTCTTTGCTTCAGCAAAACCAATCATTCTGTTGGTTTTGATGTCCTGTAATATGCAATAAGATGACATGAAATTGACAACACAATCATTTGTAGAAGTAAGTTTAGAGACAGAAATGAGATTGAAAGTAAAGGTAGGAACAAACAATACATCCTGCAGCACAAGATTAGGTCCCAGATTAATCTGTCCCACATGGCATGCAGAAGTATGTTGTCCATTGGGTAAATTAACTTGAATAGAAACAGATTTAGGTGCAGAAGTAAATAAAGATAAATCACAAACCATGTGATCAGTAGCACCAGTATCAAGAATCCATGTATGATTATTAAAGGAAGATTGTGCAGAACATGAAAAATGTAATTTACCTGCAGAGGAGGATGGAGTAAAAACAGTGGCAACCACAGGAGATGAGGAGATGGATTGTGGGACTGTGGTTTGTTTAAGAGCCTGAGATCTTTTAAAATCAAGGAACTCATGAAAAAGAGCATCAGTTATGTTGGGATTTTGGTTGTCAGTGGATGGTGTTTGGGTTGGAAGTGTAGAGGAAACAGCATTGGCTGCAACATGAGAAGGATGAACTCGAGGACCCTTAGGACCTACCCAG